AATGTCACGTATTAATCGTATTCAACGTCTGGGTCGCCTGTGGTCGAGTAAATGTGAAATGGACACCGTTGGGTAAATAAGATTTTGTTAATTTATTATTATGCAGCGTTTTACGGTAAATACTTTCTTGTGACTAACGTCTCGCTTCCTGTTTTGTGGTTCTTTGGCCCGCTATCCGAGAAGGTTGGCTTTTTAGCTGTCTTATTTTTATTTTATTGGTTTGGGGGCGCGCGATCCTTATCAGTTTTGTTGAACGGACAAATAACGAATGGACCTTTTTACCGATGTCACACTTTTCTGATTTTTTCATTCGAACTCTTCAAATCAAAAAATGAGCCACACCAATCTACGGAGGTGGTGTTTAGTTTATATATGAAAAATGCTCAAAATTGTTGATATTGCATGACATCGGTAAAAGTGGCACATTCCTTTCGGGGAGGGGCTAGGGTACTTCGTATGAGGAGCCTCCTCTCGAAAAGGGTCCTTTTTCGGGCTGGGAGTATAAAGAGGAGTAAGGATTTCACGAATTGAAGTATAGACAAGGTTAGGTTATCTAAGGGCCTTTCAAATTACAGGGTTGCCATGATCAGGAAATGGTCAGGGAAAAAATTCTTCAAGGTCAGTGAGAAGTCAGGGAATTTTATTTTGAGTCAGGGAAAATTTAAATTTTGAACAAAAGTCAGGGAAAATTGAAATATTAATTTAACATTTAACATGGATGAGTTAATACCATTGAAGGCTGGAAGAAACATGTGCGGTCACTGTGATCTCAACTATATCTTTCCTTAATGATCAGAAAGGAAATTTGCTGAAAACTTATTTGTCTTAATGAATGAGTAGAAAGGACAGCTGTAAGTGGAAGTCAGAAGCTGCTACTGGATCTTACATTTTGTATTCATTTGGTCGGGGAAATCTTATTTTTATCAAGGAAAAGTCAGGGAATTTTGGAAAGTGCTGCCTATAGAAACCATGAAAATATCTTGCACAGGTATATTGTGACGAGGGGTTGTAAAGGCCTTTTTTGGATTTAAAATTAATGATATAGGCATTTTTTAGGGTATATTCTGGTGGACCTATTTGAGATAAAACAAAGATTTGATCCAAATAATCTTTTATTGTTGTAACATAACACTTATCTATACAGTATACATTAAGGTCCATCAACTGTGTAATGTGATTAACTGGAACTAACATTATGTGAATTCAACCTGTCTCACGTCTCACATCTCCGGTGAATATTTTGAATGTTATTTTACAGTTTTCTACATATGGAAGCCTATTGCTATTATTATTTATGATTTATCTATTTTATTTAAATAGATGATATTGTGACAAACTATACCTTCATTTTTTGCAAAGCATGCTCCTAGAAAACTGAATTGATCATATCGAGTGGATTGTCAAAGGAAGTGCAAATTGCAATCATTTTGTTTTCCAATTTTGTCCAAGACATGAAAAAAGAATTTTGAAACCTGCCAGACTTTTTAAATTTGACATTGCAACCTCGTGCATGTGTAAGTGGTAATTGTTAATTAATTACCCTCCTTTAATAACTTCAGTGCATTTAGATATTAATTTGTAACAAAACTGGACTATTATAATAATATTACTTAGGTGTCCATCACTGAAAATACATCTTTTTACTTTTGACTGTTTGAATTCTTGCTCATGATAGTGCTCCATTTAAAAAGCAACGGTTTCATTCACTTTTTTTTTGTCACAATATTTTTCTCATAAAATGCATCATTTGAGAGGCTTATTTTCATAGCCGGCGTTAAATTGAGAAAATACAGTAGTTGCTGTGAAATACTGAAGTTTTCATGAAACACATTTCAAAAAGTTCCCAAAAATACAGTGTCTTACTCTAAATACAAATGAAAGTTACCTACATGAAATATAGTACAATTAAATTTCAAAACATCACTAGTTGCTTACTACAAACCCCCCTGTGCCCTGGTATTGGACTACATTGTTAACTCCACATAAAATGCAACTTAAAGAGCTATGGCCATTGTTATAATTAGCTTATATAAAATATCCCAACCTTGTTTCCAGTTACTGGATCTAGAGAAACCTGGGAATAAGGTTGCATGCATATTTTTTCAGGCTCGACACACTACTCCCCACAGTTCTCATTTGGCTTTTCATCACACCATGCTGTCCATACACCCTCGTGATATTTGGGGTCGGCATTCTCATCATATGGTTTATTTCGTATTGGTACCATGGTTGTCTTGTGTGCCTCCAGCATCCCCAGCATAAAATCAAGCGTGTTTGTCTCTATCAGTGCTAAATTGTAGTATTCGCAAGGATCTTCCTCGATGTTGAAGAGACAAGGTCCGTCCCCAATGCCACATTTTGCTGGCTCGAAAGGAGGTGGTCCACATGTAACAACAGCATTTTTAAGGGTAGGGTGGGTGCTAGAGACATTGTGAGGATGCTGTGCATCTTCCTCCAAACCTGGTGGTGGGTACCATCCATCAAAACCGAAGCCTAGATATCCATGGATTAAAACATGTGTCAGCTGTGTTGGTGGCATTAGAGCAAGGCACTGTCTAGTCAGTAAAACTCAACTGAACCAACAACAACAACAACAACAAAAAAAAACGCTATGCAACAGTCAGAGATATAATTATTTATAATTGTTGGAATTTTACTTTCTATCCAATGAGGGCATCACGTCATCTAGTAACTACATATAACTATGTAATTATATTGACTGCCACATTTTCAGCTATATTTGTTGTATTTTCTCTTGATGACATTAATGAACCCTGGTGTTCCGTTGAAATAAAACTTCTTGTTGAATGAATACTCACAAAGCAAAAGAACACATTTCTTACTTTCATTCACCAAAAGTTTCCATTGCTGATAACGCACAGCTGCCGTCCACGTCACTGGGTCAATGTTATGCACCAGTTCTTGCCTCGGAGATGCTTGCCCCTCTGAAAGTGTAGGCCACATATCGTACCCATCTGTATCAAGGTTGTTAACATCCCCTCCTGCACGTCCATACAGCGTTGGCAGCCAGTCAGACAAATGCATTAGGTCCATGCTCACTTGGCCTTTAGATGCTAACAGGGGACTGTGGATGAAGGATGTTCCTCGAATACCACCTGTTGGAGTGAAAGCCGGAAGCAAGCTTGAATAGTCTGTCTATACTTCAAAAAGCGCATTTTCTGAATGTTTTCACATTTTGATGTGGTGCCTATTCCATGGCAACAATATAAGACATAACTTCTTTATCCAAAAACAATGACAACTATAAAACCAAATGTCAAGTCATTTTGTTTTTGCATACCAGAGTCAAATAGCTATGTAAGGGAGTTAAAACTCCTCCAATAAGTGCTTCCCTAGAGCTCAAGCCTTTTGAACAAGCAGCACATTGTTCTTCAGGAGTGCATTGCTTTTTTATTTCTATGGCATGGTATAAATTATTTACACAACACTTTCTGTCCACAAAGACGAGTGTGCGTACCAAGAAACTACAAGTGACAAGTGGGATATTCCATGGTATACCACAGAAAAGCATTGAATATACAGGAAGGTATTTTTCTGTTGTAACCAGACATACAGGGCGTAATATAACTGGGTGATGGAGAGTGCAATTTCTTGCTGTTTGCTTGATTGTCTTATGTGTGTAAATTGCAATTTACAGTTTTCATTTTGTAGTTTCTTGTTTTGTTCACCTTAAGGTTACAGTATACCTTCAGGTTGGCAATTTTCTTCAAATTTGGATTTTTGGGTCAAAGTAGTGGTCGAAGAATAATCTCTAATTTCAGAAAAAAAAATTTGAAAAAGACCAAATATTGGCGGAGAAATGGCGGTTTTACGTTTTTGCCGGAAGTAAAGTTTACCTCTTGATTGACAGCCCTATGGTGCATATGCAATCAACCGAGACGACTTTGCGGGAATTACCTATATGGATGTCACGAATTGACTACTCGACTCAGTTGATCAGCATTGTTGTTCTGACTACCAAGCATTTTTGGTACTAGGTGTAATTCTATTAAGTTATGAGTAAACATAGACCACGTTAAAAACATAGACTAGTTTGAAAAAGCGAAAACAGCGAAGAACAAATGAAAATACATCAATCAGTGAAGAAGCGAAAGTTTGCCTCGCGGATGAAGCTATGGCTATCGTATAAGGCAGGCAAAAAAAAAAAAAATCGAGGTTTGAGAAAAGAAAGGTTCTGTAAAAATTTGGGAACTTGACAGCAATAACAGGGATGTTGACAGAGATTCCGATGAATCCGATATCAACAAATCAATGGACTCATTGACCATTGAGAACCACTAAAATATTATCCATGCACAGTTGACCATGCACAGTTGCTCCACCGCACTATCTTTTATTTGTTTTCTTCACCCAGCCACTCTAGCGTTAGCATCCTTTTTCATCTTCCCCATTTCGCCAGAGTGACCAGCCTCAAGAAAAACCGAGCTACAGAAAAATTGTCTCTCCACCTTTGGTGCCTTGAGCGCATTGCGAAACACAAGGGTTTTTTGGAAATTCACGCGTGAATGTCACCAGGAGGCTATCGGTAGTAAACTTTCCCTGCACTGATTGGTTCAGTTATCTGAGAACCCAGTTGAAGGCATTTGTGGGCAGAGTTTGTTTGCGAAGCAGAAGATTTTTTTAACGCTGTTTTCTCGAATAAATTTTTTTGCTTGAAGCAGACACTTTAAAGAGTTATAACTCAAAGGGAATTTGTTCAATTGCCCTCAAATTTGGACAGTAGCTAGTTTACCATATAAACTACAAACACGTGTCTGCGAATTGTTAATTTCGAAATATTATTTCTTTGAGAGCGATTTTTGTACGATCACTCTACATTTTTTTAATCCTATTTCTAAAATGTTCTGTAACTTTTTACTGCAATTGAATATGGCAAAACGCAGACCCATTTTTTAAGCGCTTTGGGCCCTGAAACTGAGGAAAAACTGAAATTGGCAAAAAACAAAATTCACTTTGACTTGTAGGTTTTGAAAGGTGATTCGGGGGCTCGCATTTAGTGGTCATGAAAAATTCAACAATTCATTTTATTTCAAAATTCTTGGTATAGTTTGATAGCCAGCTCTATAAGCTTTCATTTGATATGGGGGTTTAGGTATCTACCGCTTAAGCTGCATGCGCTACATCGCTTGCACGCGAGACATCCCTGAAGGTATATGGTAACCTTAAGGTCCCCAGTATTGCATTGCGCATCCTTACTGCACATAATTTATGGCTTCATTAGCGTGCGTTCATGCACGCGCACATTGAAAACATGGCCAATTTGCGTTGATATTGAGTTCCGTCAGTTGAATAATGGCTATAGCTCACTAATGAGCTCGGGCACCCCAAACTTTTTTCCAGTCATTTTAATCAACTAATCATTAGCTTTGCGTGAGAAAAGACTGATCTGATTTCTATTGTTGAAAATTGAATAAATAAGGAAAATAGCAGCTGCACTGTAGTCTTTTCTATTTTGCAGTTTGATAGCCYTGGCAAGCAATTTGGTTCCAATATTTTAACAAGGATTCAGCTGTCTGTCAAAATCAAACTTAAAAAGTTTATTTGTGTCTGACACAAGTATTGACTGTAGTTTGAGGCATGTTTTCCTGAGTCTGGGCTCACAAAGAGTTTACAATAACTTGGAATGCGTTATTATAATAAGCATTAAATAACGCTAAAATAGGACATTTTCAATGCCTCAATGCTCCTTAACGAACATGGGCATCCCCTTTTTTAATTTTGTAATTAAAGTTCTCATATGATAAATATTCATTGGACAAAGTTTGAACAAAAATCTATGTGCAGTTTTATTTCAGGGGAATTACCTTAATTTAACTTTATTATGAGTCCTATTTACAAGATCTGTGTTCGAGTTTGCTTGCACCACTCACCTTCCCACAGACTATACTTGGTTCCTCTCAGTGGATAATTACAAGCTGTGTTCCGATTGACACCATGAGCTGGTCCACCATTGTCAGTGCTGAACACTATTATAGAGTTTTCATACATTTCTTGGGCTTTAAGAGCATCCACAACCTAACACAAGATGAGGAGAGAAATGAGATGCACATAAACATGGATAAGAAGAGACTGAAATCACAAAGTAGCTTCACAAAATACAGATAAGTTAATTTTAATCAAGGATTGATGAAGCCAGAAGGCTCATCAAAGCTGGATGAGATTCTTGTCCACTCCTGAAAGAATTTTGCCACCTTGTCCAAGAATGTAACACAGTGACCCTGTACAGGTCAGGGTTAGGACTACTCAATCCAGAATCATGGCTCCTAATCTTTCATTAAATTCTTGACTACATTAGTATAACAATACCTTTTTGATGGATTGATCCAGAGCAGTAGCCATTGCAGCAAATCTTCTTCGGTTCTCATCATGGATGCTATTCTTGAACTTATTAATCAGATCTTCAGGAGCTTCAAGTGGTTCGTGTGCCAGTGCACTATGGACTGCTTCATGAGCCAAGTACAGGAACAATGGCTTGGAGGTATCATGTGAATTGATCAGATTCACAGCTTGGTCTGTGAAAAGGTGCGTGCGGTAGTTTCCCCACTGATTGTGAAGAGGCTGTGAAGTTAAGAGAGAGAATAACTATTATTAAAATGATTTTAAATGCACACAGTATTATTTTAAAAAGATTAGCATATCAGTGAGCTCTGTGGCATTACATTCATATTGAAAACATGTGTTTCTCATTTAGGGGTGACACTTGTTCCCCACTTTATGTCAACTTGACATTTAGGACGTTATATATTTAATTTAAATTTAAAAAATGTCTCAAATGACTTTCAAAAAAACACCATCCTCAAATAAGTGCTGCACTTAAAAAATGGCTGTATCAAAAATGTTAAATGATTTAATAAGTACCAAGTACACTTTTTCTAGAAAATATATCGTTAAAAAAACATCTGGTCACACTGTTAGTAGTTGGCATTATTTGGAGTAAAAGGGTTATAATACAGGGGTTTCATTGAGGGCTGGGCACTGCGCAAATTGGCCGGCTGTGAGGATGATTTTGCCTGACTGGTTTGACCATCTCGCGGAAAGTTTTTCATATAAAGAAGTCAGTTCAAATAGTTTTGTCTGCCTGTGAAAACCAGTTGTCCTCCTACCGAAAGAGTCAATGAAACCCCTGTATAATATCATACAAGTATACTAAATGTCCAAACTGGCAAAATTATTTTTTTTCAGCATTAGTTTATTCCACTGACATTACATGCAGATTTATACCTCTGTGTTATTTCTCAGGTCCAGTCCCCATGGATTGTGTGATCCTTCACCCTCAGCCTCTGAGTGATCCCAGTAGTCTCCAGCCCCAAGCCAGTAACCAAGGAATGAGTCAAATCCACGTTTAGTCGGCGTGTAGTCATATTTAAAAAATCCAAGATGCCACTGCAACACAATGCCTTTGTATAAACCAGTATGCAAGGAAATCGGTGTATTTTCCTGTATAAAGCTACATAGATATTATTTTTATATAGTGAAAAAACATTTGAGAGGCTGTTGTTAATCACAGCATTCACAAGTAAGCTTATAAATAACTTTTTTTCACATGCTCCTATCCATGTGGTACATAAATGTATGTGGGTAGCCAATTTTCCCATCAACTTTATTGGGCCAAGTCCCATACAGCCAGAGAGCTTAGAATTATCCTGGTTTCCACAGCATTAAGCGGCTAGGAATATTTCTACTCAGTTCCCTGGATTGGTTGCTTGTCCCTTGCAGGGCTACCAGCAGCCCCAGCATTAAATTTGCCAGTACCCATTTATGCAGGTACACCTGGGTAGAGAGAGGCACTGTGAAGGTGAAGTGTCTTGCCTAAGAACACAAATCAATGACCCTAAACTGTGGCTCAAACCCGGAATGCTTGCAGTAATCACTTACCGGTAAGGCCACCGAGCCTCTCACTTGTAAAAAAAATTTATAAAAATGAAAACCCAGTAACTCTATGAAAACCCACATGCTTTATTTTAAATCCATACCTTTCCCACAGCATGTGTGGCATAACCCATTTCCTTGAGATACTGAGGCAGCAATTTCTCTTCTAGGCTTACACCAAAAGGTTGTCCACCCATGATGACCCCATGCTGCATTCCTATAGTGGCCATTGAATGACGTGGAAAGAAAATGAAACATTAGCTTCCTATTTATCAAGCAGAAGTCAGGATAAATAACATTCAAGCATAAGAGCCACACAGAGGAGGGGAGGGGTTACCATGTTTCCTTGATCCCTTGAAGATTTTAGCTTTTCTCCCTTGTTCCCTATTAACAAATTCCATTGTTCCTGATATAAATAGTTTGTTAAGATTCCCTATAATAGCAGAGATATCCCTAATGTTCCCTCAAATTAGTCCCAAAAGTATCCTTTGTTCCCTTGAAATAAATGATCATGTCCCCTTGTTCCCCAAGACCCATAGGAGGTACTCAAACATGAAACAACCAGACAGAAAAGAAATTGTTGAAATATTTAGTATCAATGAAGCTTACAATACATGCTAAGGAATGCAATACGTGACAAAAGTAGTTAAGACACTTAAAGAAAATGACAATTTGTGATATAATTTATAATTTCTATGTTCCTAATTTATATGCATCTAGTGATAATTCTCCAACACCCCCACCCCCGTCCCAATTTAGTGCTGACTGGGTAGATGTTGTGCTCTGCGCTGTCTGACTAATAGAAAATTCAACCTTGTTTGGGTGGAGGACAGAAAAGTGTCTCCAAGTGACTCAAAATTACAATTCTACAATACCTCAGCCGCTTATATTTGTAGCTATTGTCTTGCTCTGTGTATGCATATTTGCAAGTCACTTAACTGCAGGCAAAAACCAACCATTACGCTCCTTGCTTTCCTCTCTTTCATGAGGTGTACAATGTACTACAGTGAGTTTATTATGATTTACATACCTGTATGTATTGGATATTTTCCAGTCATGATGGTACTACGACTTGGTGTGCAGATTGGCGACACATAGTAGTTGTTTAAGATGACACCATTATTTGCTAGATCATCAATATTAGGAGTTGGAATTTGGTCTGAGCCATGAAAACTCACGTCATCCCAGCCCTGAAAGTCATGACAAATAAAGGAAACTGGAGGTTATTTTAAAGAAAATCTTACATGTTTTGGTCTTGTAACAAAACAGCTTCCATGGAACTATGCTCCACTTGGAGTGGAAGGGAATTAGTCAAGTAAGTCTTACAACAAAGTTATTAGTGAACTGTAGCTGTGGTTAATGTGAAAAACTGCCATGAATTATATATTATATAATATATATATATTATTACACCCATATAACAGCTGACATAAAACTCTTCCATTCAAAACTCATCAGAAGTTATCCCAACGGTCCACTTAGAAGCTTAGATTAGCACTTAGTGGTGCTTTCAAATGTGTCAAATATGGCAGCTTAGTCTCTCTAGGTCCTCTACCAGCTGCTATTATTTTGATAAAAGAAAACCCGAGAACACAGCAGACATCAAAGTTCATAAACTTCATTCATCCTTATCTTCGCTTTTAATTCTTACAGTATTTCATCACATCAAATTTATATCTCAAACTGTATCAAAAAATTGTTCAATAATTCAAAGAAGTTAATAATCAACTAAAACTACAAGATGTAAATATAAACTACAACTGTGCAATGCTTACCAAATCATCGGCAAGTATAAATATGATATGAGGCTGGCTAGCGTTCTTGGTTTTACCCGCAGCAATTAATTGAAAAGAAGAAAAACACGCCAACAGCAACACAAGCATCGCGGCAGTTTTTATATTGCCTGAACCCTGTCTGAAACAAAACGCATCTTCAAATAAGTTCTTAAATATTCTTAAAACAACAGCTGATCGCGAGCTTGCAAATATTATCAGCGAAGAAACGTCAAGAAATGTCAATATTAACACAAGTTTCTCTCTCACCTTGTGCAGATGATGTAGAAGTACTCCTACGTTCGTTAACTCTACACAAAGACGATCTACACGATATCGTTGCTACCTCACCTGTGACAATCATGTGACAGCTCCATGCACAGGGAGCCCTCACATCCGTTTAGAACATGAATAAAAGATGAACCTACCTTTATCGCGCGTGTTTTGTGTTTTGTGGCAGCCATTTTGAATTTTTAATACGCGCGCGGTGTGCTAGTGCGAGGTCTGGAGCCGAAATTACGGAAGTCTGGGACGGGCGGGAAAATTCGCAAATTCTCGGGGGTAGCCGATCGCTCACCGAGGATAATAAAGTGACAAGATTTTCTTAGAGCTCCGAGCAGGCTCCGAGCGATTTTCCGTAATTTCGGTTCCAGACCTCGCACTAGCACACCGCGCGCGTATTAAAAATTCAAAATGGCCGCCACAAAACACAAAACACGCGCGATAAAGGTAGGTTCATCTTTTATTCATGCTCTAAACGGATGTGAGGGCTCCCTGTGTCCATGTGATACTTTCAATTTCCCCCGCCATCTTGGATTTGAAACAAGTTACTACTCATTTCACGTACATAACGGACACAGCGTTTTACGTTAAGACCGCTTCATGACCGGGCTATTTATCGCGGTTTCCGAGAAATTTTGGCTGTCAGTTAGTTTCGAATTTTTTTTGGTTTGTTCGCCTTTATTTTTGTGAACAGAAAAATTACGAATTCGAAAGTGGCGACTTCCACGTAAAAAGGACGGGGTTGCTCATCGTACAGTAGGGTTTTTTTTCCGTACCTCTTAGTTTTTTACGGTACCTTCTAGATCAGAGTGGTGGGTAGAAACTGAAAAAATACGACAGGCGATAGTTGGAAATCAACTTTACGAGTTGAAATTATTTGAAGCAATCGTCTCTAGTCTGTCTCTATCGCTGTTAAAAATAATGCAGGTGTCAGTCAATGCGTTGTTTCAGAATTAGAACCTTTTAGGGGTTAAGAGAATTTCAAGACACATCCACAAAACAGGATCTTAATACCTCTTAGTGATTCTGTTCAAAATTGTCGACGAGCACCCCAGTCCTTTTTGTATGGGATTCTCTCCCTTGACTTGGAGTAGCACACTGAAACTGACTGTGAAGAGAAATTGCAAGGCAACAACGAACGAAGAACGTCAAATTAGAAGAATACTCTTCACATTCCTTCGAAAAGTGAAAAACGATATCAAAACCCTTGAAGTGTAGAGACAGCGGGATAAAAGTTCCCCAAAACAAAATCGTCAGGGAAGGAACGTCCCGCTTTCTGTGCATTGAATCGGCATCCCCTTCACGAGCGGGACAGCCCAAGAGTTGATCAGAAAGAAATTGTATTATTATTTATTTACTTTTTTTTTTTTATCGCAGTACCATTATGCTGAATTCACTATATAACTATCGATGTAGTGTATCTTACATCAGAGGTTGTTTCTCGCTTGTAGTCCTCGCGAATTTTCGCGCGCAACTAATGTAACTACCAACGTTAACAACAGAGGATCTAGGTACTTTCCTTGATCATCTCTTGCTACCAATCAGATTGATAATTAGTTCGCGCAAAAAATCGCGCGAGGAACAACCCAGTTTAAATTACTTATAGTTTTTCTGCTGAAGCATGTTTGTAAAACACATATGAACCATACTACCCTTCAGCCTAGTGTACGCAACTGAGAGTACCACTGTGAATTCGCCTGCGCGAAATCTCTGTTGAATGTTTTCAATGTCTATAATTTACACCATAGGTTAGGCAGCTAACCTACCATTAAGAGTATGAAACAGAGATTTAGAAGCCAGAATTCATGAGATGTCCGATACAGACACTGCTCGAGTTAGGCGAGATTTTGTACCTGTACATAATGCTGACTTTCAGAAGCCCTATTGCAAAATAAAAATGTCCTGTCCTAATCTATTGACTATATTTGAACACTACTGCGGAGGATGTAAAATTTACTATAGTTTACATTAATGCTTGTTTCGATTTTCTCTGCCAGATTAGGTGTCTTTACCCTGACACAGCTCAAATTGACAAATAGCTTTATGAGGAAGGTCGATGATTATATGCAATACGTATCTGAGTGCTGAATGAGATTTGCAAACGCTCGGCTTCGAAGGTGTAACCTGCAAATCAGAAACCAACGTTAACTTCAGACGTTTAATTACTGGACGAGGCTAAGCAAAATATATTTTTTTCAAAATAACGTGATTTGTCAGTGGCGAGCAGAAGGCCTCAGCCTTCGGCTTCGGCAAATAATTGATCTAAGAGGCACTGAAAAATCATATTTTGCAACATTCAAGTTTAACATTATTCGATCACCAATGTTATTTGCACCTTAAAAATGATTTTCTACTTTGCATAAGCAGACCATTATTTGTAGAGAGTTATTTACAGGTCACGTGGTGGGCTCTCGGCCAATGAAAAGGAAGAAAAAATGCATCGAGCGACAACGTTTTCAGGGCGCTGGTAAAAAGAGCCCTGGGGACATACATACTACATACTTTATTTGAAATAGGTTAAATTAAAGGCAGCCAGAGGCTGATGTGGACCTATATTTAATCTACAAGTAATAAGGTTTCCATTTTGCATCTGGAGTGACATGCGTTGTTCTTTAATAATGTTCTGTGTCCATCCACTCTTAGTACTTGTAAGTGAGTTTCGCCTCTTTTAAAAGGTGATTTAGAAGTTAGATGATTCTGATTGTCCGAATTTTTCCTTTTGCATGTGGCTATATAAACCGTGCAAGGGTTAATGTTACATAAGGTTCTATTTTGCCAACTTTCCCATGCAATAGAAATGAATTTAAAACGACCCGTTCTTGGTTATGTAGCTGGCCTGGTACAAATAAACACTCGAAAAAGTTTGTAAAGCCTGCATGCGAGCCAAGTGGCCCATCAGGTCGGAGCTTATCCCGGTTTCTGTAGCATGAAGCGACTAGGAGTATTTCTACTCCCCCCTGGATGGGATGCTAGTCCATCGCAGGGTTACCCCCAGCATTAAGTTCGCCGGTACCCATTTATACACCTGGGTGGAGAGAGGCACTGTGAGAGTAAAGTGTCTTGCCCAGGAACACAGCACAATGTCCCCGGCCAGGGCTCGAACCCGGACCGCTCGATCCGGAGACGAGCGCACTAACCATGAAGCCACCGCGCCTCCCATAAAGTTTGGCAGAACTCGAAATCCTCGGCTGCAGTTATAGAGTTTACGTAAACTTTGCCATTCTCTCAAAGTGTCTCTTGTGCGTTAGTTTCTATATTTTATACATAAAGTGGAAAAAAGGCATATAACATTAATACATATTCCACAACTATACTGGTACATATTCAAATGATTGATTTATAGAAACTAGATTGCAACACAACGACAGCATTTATCCTAACAAACATTTTTAAAGTTATATGCTAGTAGTATTTTTTCCATCGGACTTTATTGCCAATATATATAGCATTACAAAGACTAACAAATCAAATTAAAATTCACGCACCAGAGGATCATCGATGCAAGCGTTTTATTTCATTCCTTTAATCGTACATGTATGGTTCAGAACTGCTGAAGAAAAAATGCAATTGCAACTGACATTCCTGGCTTTTTCGATCAGTTTACGGTGAATTTCACTGATTTGCGGTAAAAGAATAGTCCACCATAATTCTTATAGCCGTTGACAAGCCGGGCGCGACATCTGTTGGAGAGGTCATAACTCACACAGATTTGTCATATTATGTAAAGCTTGATCTCCAATTTTAAAATGAAGTTTGCTTAGTTTGTTTGCTGTTCATAATAGCTGTCACACTGTCCTGAATGCAAATCAAAGACTGCATCAAGTTTACTGACAAGAAAACTAACCTCTTGAGACATATGTTTTTAAAACTTTATTTCAAATGATACACAGTGCGGGGAATTTCTCTTATCACATAAAAGCTCTGCGAAAGGTATTGAAATCG